GCTTGCCCGTCCTTGAGCAGGAGAGATTAGCAGGCAAGGTGAAGGGCAGCTAGCAAGAAGGATGCCAGACACGGACTTCAGGACCGGTCGTTCCTGTTAGTCAGGCCCCGCTCTGTGCCAGGCCCGAGTCCAGGGTTTTCCACCGATGTCTTTCATTTATCCTTCATGACAACCATCAGGACATTTTATGGATGAGGAGACAGAGGCTCAGAGGATCCAAGTGGTGGCTCCTGGCGCCTGGCCTGGGATCTCCCTATGTCACCCCGTGTTGCCCTGCGTGAGCAGGGAGGACCCTGATAGGGGTATCCAGACCCCAGGATGGATCTTTGGGGTCTCTGTCATGAGGACCAAATTGGAGCCCGAGGCAAAGGGAAAATCTGGAATACTGCCCTTTTCCTTAGGGGAATGTTCGGATTCCGTTCATGGTGGTTTCTTTTGCATTAAGTCAGAGTTTTGAAATAGGACACTAACTTATCTCTGTGTCCCCTACTGAGACTCAGCACCGGCTAACAGTTCACCCCCAGGGCACGGTGCCTCTCTCGCCTCACCCTGCCCCAGCCCTGCTCGGGGCCTTGGACCCAGCTCTGATGGGCACCGAGGTGGCCCCAAGGATCCCTCGATGAAAGGAACCCCATGAGATCCCCAGGGGTGAAAGTGGGGATGCACAGGCTGTGGGCTCCATGTGGCGGCTGAGGCAGGCTGGACCCAGAGCTGGCGAACCATGACACGTGGATTTGAGTCCCATCTGTGTGCAGAGCTCTTGTGGGCCACCATTGAGCTGCCCATCGTACAGGTGGGAGAAGGAGGTCCTCTGGGTGGCTCAGTCAGTGAAGAGTCTGCCATCGGGTCAGGTCATGATCCCGGGGTCCTGGGAATGAGCTGTGCATCAGGCTTCCTGCTCAGCGGGGAGTCTGCATCTCCTTTTCCCTCTGCCCCTCCCCCAGCTTGTGCTCTCTCACTCACTCACTCTCTCAAATAAATAAATAAAATATTTAAAAAAACAACAACAAGTGCCAGAACAAGGCCTGAGCACCGGTCTGCACTCCCCGAGCTGCATGGGTCCGGCTGCACCCTGCCTGTCCTCCTGGACCCCAAGCTGCCTCCCTTCTCAGGGTGGGATCAGCTAACCCTTCACTCCCTTGCAGGGAAGGCTTTCACTGGGATGGCTCGGCCGTCTTCCCGGAGCCACCCCCAAATAACCTATTTCAACCCATGGCTGAACCCATCACTTGGAACAACATGAAATACTATGTCAGTCTCCTCGTGGACAATGTGAAGGAGCGGGTCGCCTGGTTCCGGACATCACACCTCCTCTGGCCCTGGGTAAGGCGGGGTCCTGGGCCCCGGGGTCCCCAACACAGTCCAGTCTCACCCAAGCAGGCTCTTCCAGGGGCCGGGCCAGGCTGCCATCCTCAGCCCCGGGCCAGTGCCTCTGCCCTGCATACCGCACAGCCTCACCCCTTCCTCCAGCTCCTGCCACCTCCCGGGACACCCCCAGCCTCTCCCACCTGAAATACAGCCCCCGGCCCATGCCAGCGCCCAGCTCCACTCAGCTCCTCCCTCCTCGTCCTAGCTCCGTGTTGGGGTGTGCGGCCGGGACGGGGATCCTGGCCCCCTGCTCCGTCGCTGTGTGCCTTAGCCCCTCTGGTCTCAGTTTCCTCATCTCTAAAGTGGGCATCATGACAGGCCCTGCCTCAGAGGCTTGATCTGAGACTGACAGGAGGCATGCCCCGTGACAGCGTCAGACACGGGACGTCCCCCTCCTCCCCACCCTCACGTGCAGAGCTCACCTTCACTGAGCAGCTCCAGGGCACCTGGCGCCTTCTGCGTGGTGTATTTGTCTCATCCACTTAATCTGCCCCATGGGCCTGGGACGCAGGCACTGCTGGGATCCCATTTTGAGAATGAGGGAACTGAGAACCAGAGAGGTCCTGGGATCCTCCCAACGCTGCACAGCCACACAGCAGGGCAGCTAGGATGGGGATGCGGATTTGTGCTCAGACCCCGGCAGGGCGCCCCCTAACCTGTCCTCTTACCTCTTGACTGCCCGTGGGAAGGTGCACAGAAGGTCTGTCATTGTGGGTGATGGCTGTTATCCCGTTATTCATGATTATCATACTATTATAATTAATGATATTGATGAATAGTAATTCTGTTGGTCTTTAAAAAAGGCCAAGGGAGAGGGCCCCTGGGTGGCTCAGTTGGTTAAGCAACTGCCTTCGGCTCAGGTCATGATCCTGGAGTCCTGGGTTCGAGTCCCGCATCGGGCTCCCTGCTCAGCGGGGAGTCTGCTTCTCCCTCTAACCCTCCCTCCTCTCATGTGCTCTCTCTCTCTATCATTCTCTCTCTCAAATAAATAAATAAAATCTTTAAAAAAAAAAAGGCCAAGGGAGAGAAATATGTCAGACAGAGAATTCCAGTACTGCACGATCTCATTTAATGTGGTTCTAAAATCATCAAGTATAGGGCGCCTGGGTGGCTCGGTTGGTTAAGCGACTGCCTTCGGCTCAGGCCATGATCCTGGAGTCCCGGGATCGAGTCCCGCATCGGGCTCCCTGCTCAGCGGGGAGCCTGCTTCTCCCTCTGACCCTCCCCGGTCTCATGCTCTATCTCATTCTCTCTCTCAAATAAATAAAATCTTAAAAAAAAAAAAAATCATCAAGCGTAGAGAAAAGAGATGAGTTTTGTAGTCCCCGGATTTAGGGGGTGAGGGAGGAGGCTCTGGGCGAAAGTGGTCAAAGGTACCGACTTCCAGTTATATAAGAAATATGTGCTGGAGATGTAATGTACAGCATGATTTAAAACAAGATTTTAAAACGAAAAAAGTAAACAGGAAGGAAGGGAGGAAGGGAGGGAGGGAGGGAGGGAGGGGGGAGGGAGGGAGAGATGAGGGAAGGTGCAAAAAATGCCCTCTGGGAGCTGGTTGGGGCTTCTGCCAAGGGAGAGCGGAGGGCCCCTGATGGGGGTATTGAGGGATGGGCTGGGCTCTACCTGGGCTGGGCTCTGCCCCGGAATTCCAAGGCTTTGCGCTGTGTCCCGGCCTGCAGGGCTGTGACAAACAGTTCTTCAACGCCTCGCTGCAGTTCGAAAACATGGACCATCTGCTGGACTTCATCAACAGTAATACAGCCAAGCTCGGCATCACTGTGGAGTACGCCACGCTGGCCGAATACTTCGGTGCCTTGCACGCTACCAATGTCACCTGGCACGTCCGCGATCACCAAGACTTCCTGCCCTATTCCTCAGGTATGAGCCCATACAGGTTGGGGGGCAGCTCTGGTACCGGGGGGGTGCCCACCTAGTGTCTGCTCTGCCCTGCTGAGGAGCTTGTGAGGGTCACTGGGGCCAAGATTGGCCATGCCCCCCACTGCCCCCCATACTCGGTCCCACTAGACATCCTAGGATTGACGGGACACTCGCAGAATGGCTCCGTAGCTTCCTATTTCCACATCCAGGAGGCCTTGGCTGCCTTCATGTGGGAGGGCAACAAGGGTATGAGCTTGGTTATAGTCAGGGGGGAGGGGAAAATTGATGTGGGTGGGGTTACAGGTGAAGTTCAAAGCCTCATCTGTGTGGGCGTGGTTACAGCCCAGGTAGAGATGGATACGTGGGTGTGGGCGGGGTTATGCTGAAGTGGGTGGGGCTACACCAAAGAGGGAGGAGATAGGGCAATGTCCTGCAGGGTGTTCTGAATGGGCTTGGCTTGGTGCAGCCCTGCAACAAGACAATGTTTCTTGGGAGCCTGGACAGGTGCGGTGAGCCCTGGTCCCTGCTCTGAGTCACTGGGGATTTAGAGCTTAGGCTGCGGAGTGCCCCTGCCTGACCAGGACACTCAGCCTGCTGCAGGAGCTGAGGACTACGCGGTCTCCTTTCCCGCGGCTGGGGGGCTACCCTTCCTGGTGTGCTCAGGTCGTGTGGGGGAAGGTCAGGGAATGGAGACACTGCTCAGCCTGTGTGGAGGCAAGAGCAGTAGGAACAGTCAACCACCTTGTGAGACCCAGCCACCCCCCCTCCCCGGGGGGCATCCAGCCCCCGTCCTCCCGAGGAGCCTTGGTCAGGAGTCATCATGTGTGTGGGTCAGCGCAGCAGCTGCGGGGTCCCTCAGCTCTCCCCCATCCCACCTCCCTGGGCTGCCAGTGGAACCCCACTGGTTGCAGGCTCGTCCCGGACTCCCCACTGCCCCTCAGTCGCAACAGAGGCCTCTGCCAGCACTCAGGGCCTGTGCCAGCTGGGTGCTGCCTACTTGACTCCCACCCCCCCCCTCCCCGAGGTCTCCCAGGCCCTGGGCTCACAGGCGGTTCCAGGTTTCCCAGGTCCACCCCGGGCTCTCTGGTCCCCCACCCCAGTCCTGGTCCAGCCCAGCCTGACCCTCACACCTACCCCAGCCCCTCTCTGGGGTCCCCGGGCCACTCCTAGCCTGGCCAGAGTAGGGGTGTGTGGCTGCCTCCATAGGTGACCCAGGCACGGCCAGACCCCAGGCCCCAGCTTCCCCAGTTCTACGGGGACTTGGGCTCAGGAAGCCCCCAGGCCAGGGAGACTCACGCCAACTGCCAGCCCTTCTCTGTAGGTCCATTTCAGGCCTGGACCGGCTTCTACACATCCCGCAGCAGGCTCAAGAGGCTGGCAAGGCGAGCCAGCGCTCTGTTGTACGCCGGGGAGTCCATGTTCACACGCTCCGTGTGGCCGGCCCCCCACCAGCACCTGGACCTGGACTGGGCCCTGAAACAGCTCCAGCAGCTCCGCTGGGCGGTCTCCGAGGTAATGGCACACCTCTCAGCAACACGATCAGTTTGGAAACCTGCCGTGCAGTGCGCTTCCCCAGCCCCGGGTCACTAGAGATCCACTTTCCAAACAACGCGCAGGTGGCCTGTGGTCACATGGCAGGTGCATGTGGACATGGGGCCAACGCTAGAACCGTGGTCTGACAACCTTCAGCTGGTGGCTTCAGTAGGCTTTAGAGCCAAATTTACCCAGAGGGCAAAGGGCAAAGTGGAGAAGCATTGGTGTCTACAGTCCTGTGTGGACCCGGTCTGCCTCCGCTGTGTGGCCTCAGGCTCGGGACTTCCCTCTCTGGGCTCTAGTTCCCTCCCTGTACAGTGAGACGCTCATGCCCACCCCAGGATAGTGGGGCAACTGAATGTGAGAATGTACATAACCTGCTCGGCACGGTGGCTGCCCCATAGCAAGTTGTTCCCAATTTTCTGTCTCCACTCCTCCCCCACTGAACAGATGGGAAACCTGAGACCCCAGAAATCCTGTAACTTGTCATCACCCAGCCAGAAAAGCGCCATGCTGGCCATGGCCTTGGCACACTCACCGGAAGGGCATTGACGGCAGAATGGGTCACTGTGTTGGGGGTGAAATGGATTTTAGAGCCCACTGGAGTGAGTAGGACACGTGGCTTCAGCTGCTGGGGCCTCAGTTTCCCTGTGGGGAAGAAGCTCATCCCACCCCCATTTTGGTACAGAGAATGGAGGGTGCCTGGGGAATCCCAGTGGCACTCACAGGAACGCTGCACAATGGAGGTGAAGCTGGGGCGGGTCCCTTGCAGATGTCTGTTTTCAGCCCAAGTTAGGGGACTCAGCGGGGTTCCGCAAGGTCATCAGTCCCTCTGAGCCTCAATTTCCAGTTCTGGAATGTGCTAGGGACCCTCACCTGCTCCACTAGCAGCTGGTGAGAAGGAAGGAGAGCCAGCCCCTTGGAGGTGGTTTGCAGATGCAGGCCTGATCCCGTGTTTCCCCCACTCTGGTCGGGATGCAGGTGCAGCACCACCATGCCATCACTGGGACTGAGACCCCCAAGGTGAGAGACATGTACGTGAAGAACCTGAGGTCAGGGATGCAGGGTGTGCGTGAACTGATGGCCTCCATCGTCCAGGATAGGACCCCTGCCTTCACAGGTAAGCGAGGTCCCTATGGGATGTCCCTGCAGGTGTGGGAGGGGGGCTGAACCTTTGTGAGCAGAGAGCCTGTGGGTCTCAGAGAGGACCTGAACAACCCAAGCCTCAGACTCTGCACCCACATCCCTTGTGCACCATGGACGCTTGGTCTGAGCTTGGCACGTGCCTTGACTGTTGGGAGCCTCCATGTCCTGCCTGTGATGAGAAGATGGGGAGGTTACCATGTGAGCCAACTCAGTACCGCATTTGCTCAGAGCTCAGCCCGCCGTGTTTACTGCAGTGGGTGGAGAGTCGGTAAGCCAGGGGGTGCTATTATCCTCACTGTGTAGCTGAGGACACACCAGAAACAGAGAGGTTGTGGACATGCCCAGGGTCACCCAGCTAGGAAGGAACAGAGCGGGGATTGAACCCAGGGACTGTGCTCAGTATTGCAGAGGATGCAGGTGTCCTCGGGGACCTGAGCCCAGCCCGGATTCCCCAGCTCCCTCCTAAGCTCAGTTTGGGTGCTGATGTCTGACCCTTTGACAGTGAAGGGATCACACGTATAGAGTAACTGATGCCAGCTTGCTGCTGAGGAATTGTGACCCAGAAAGTCCTAGGCGTACCGGGACACCTCGGCCTCCCTCCCTGGGCCTGATGTCATGAGCACAAGGCCTGCTGCCCCTTCCCCAGCTGCCATCTCAGCCTGCGCTCTGTCATGGTGCACCCCTCACTTCTGACCTCCCTGCTCACCTGGCCTGCTCTTCCCTCCACTCTGTGTCTGTGTGCAATGCCATCTGACCTTCAGACTGGGGAAGGCCCCTGGGGACCATGCACGCAGCACACAGTCCCAGCCCACAGACCCTGGGGTTGGCTGGGAGAGACAGCTGCAGCAGAGCTGGAACCGGGGTCTGATTTCCCTGCCAGGTGGTGCCGTCCATTCCCATGACCTCACCAGGGAGGCTTGCCCGAGCAGTGAACGGGTGGAGGTCAGGAAAGGTGTCCCAGCCACAGTGAACAGCCTGGGCAGGGGCAGCGGGCTGGAAAGCGTGTGATGTGTTCAGGGGTCCAGGAATCATCAGACATGGCCAGAGTTTACCTTACTGGGGGTAAAGGATAGAACAGACATGAACCCAAACCCTCACTGGGGCTCAAACGCTGGGCTAGGCGATTGGACTGGACCCTCCAGCCTTCTGAGAGTTCTCCAGTCCTTCCCAATGCCAAGCACTCAAAACTTGGTAGCCAGACCTTAGTGGCGGGTCAGTTTGGGCAGGTGACCGTCCTTCTCCGGGCCTCAGTTCCCTCGTCCGTCCAGTGGGGCCGTCAGGGACTGATGTGTCAGGAACGCAGGGACCCTCACTGTCCAGAGGGACACGGCGTGGTCCCTTTCATCCTCCCCTGCCTGGGGACTGGACACAGAGCCCTGAGCAGAGTATGGGGCCCGCTGGGTATAGGAGCGCACTAGCCCACTGGTCCCTATACTCAGCTGCCCTGGCAGCTCTGCGGGGCTGTGTCTCCTGCCTCAGTTTCCCATGTAGCCAGGGGCCCCCAGGTGTGCTGGGTGAGTCCAATGGCAGCAGGTAACGCCGGTTCTCTGTGTGCAGACCCAGGAGCTGGGGGACACGTTGCCGTGGTCTACAACCCCCTGGCCTGGACGGTCACCACCCTTGTTACCCTGACTGTGGGCTTCTCCAGGGTCAACGTCACAGATGAGTCCGGCCGGCCAGTGGCTGCACAGGTATGGCTGTCATGACAGCGTGCACGGGGCACACTCGCTGTTGCTGACATCTGTTCCGGGAGGGCACTTCCAGAAATGGGAGCAGTTCACGTGAACATGTGACCATGGGTGCCCACTTGGAGGATATCCCCATGGGGACCCTTATCCAGTAGGGTCTGTGGGATCCACCAGGAGACTGACACTGGCCTATGAGCATCTGAAGTGCCCAGAAGTCCCGCCACTGTCTCCTCCCTGGAGGGTCTCCTGGGTGGTCTGCCCTGGTTGGGAGGCTTCTCCTCACCCCCCTGCCATGGGGCATATTGATATTCTCATGTAAACGACCACTTTGTGTGGAAAGGCCCTCAGGAGTCTTCAGAGGGGCTCTTCGTGGAGGCGCTGATGTTCCAGGCTGGCCCAGCTGCCTGTGTCCACACACCCAGATACCAGCATGTGTGTGATCTGTCTTCATTTCCTTCCACTGGCTGGAGCCAGCAGGGGGGGCCCCAGGGACCCTGCCTGTCCCCCAGTGCCAGTGTTTCCCTGTGGAGGTGAAGGAGGTGCTGACATCAGCCACTCAGCAAACACTCCCGAAGGCGCATACTAGTCCAGCCAGGGCTTTGTGCTGGTCCCCTGGACAGCAGTGCCACCATGGGGAGGGGAGGTCAGACCCTTAAAGGACATGTGTGGTGTGGAGTGATGACCCGGGGAGCCAGGGTAGCAGGCCTTGGTTGATGCAGAAGGAGGAGGAGTTCATCGACCTGGGCAGGGAGATGGGACGGTGTTGGTTTCAGCAGACCCAACCCCTGGCATCCCCTTCTTCACCCACACGCAACACCACTCAGAGTAAATGCACTCAACAAATATTTTGGAGACCTGCTGTGTGTCAGGCCCTGCCCTAGGTGCCGGGCTTCCTTAATAACCAAGCCCATGAAGTCCCTGCCTGCAGGGAACTCATATTCTCGCCCTGGGTGACAGGCAGGAAACCAAGTAAGAGCATGTTAATGTAACAGGTGGAGGTGATGGGGGCAGGGACAAGGTGTCTGCTGTATGTCCCACAGAGCCTGGGTGGGACGGTGTGTGCAGCCATTCTGGGGTTGCTAATAGGGCCCCCAAGTTTCCCACAGGGGCTCGGATGCTGCATGCTGCCCCAAGAGAGTGAGAGGCTCGGCTGAGTGTGCCCAGTGTCCTCCTCCATCCCTCCCAGTTCATGTGACAGAGGGTTGGGGAAGGCCGGGTGGGTGAACAGGAATATGCCCCCTTGGGGAAATTGGAGGTTGCGAAATAAGAGTGCCCCTTTGGAGAGAAGGCCCTCCAGGGAGAGGGAACCACATGGGCAGTGGCTCAGAGGCAGGAAAGAGCAGGGGTCCTGAGAAGGGAGGGCAGTTGCTGATGCTGGAGTCTGAGGAGTGGGGGAGGCAAGGGAGGGAAATGGGGCTGGGGCAGGATCCTGTTGAGCAGGGAGGATGCCTGGAGGGACCTCAGCACAGTCCAATGATGGAAAGACCCTGCCGCCTGTGAGTAGTGAGCACCCTGCCCAGGAGGTGTGCAAGTCACAGGTTACTGAGGATACTGAGACCCACCATTTTGTTTTGTTCTGCTGGCCTTGCAGGTCCAGGAATCAAAGGAGAAGCAACCTGCTTACAACTTGCATGTGCTGACCACAATCCCAGGCCTCAGTTATCGACACTACAGCGTCACGCGCACCCAGGGGACCCAAGAAGACACCAAGCAATTGGGTACCAGTCTGGCTAGAACCTCCAACTTTGGCCGCAAGACAGAGACACATGCTGGTCCACGGGGCAGGCACCTAATTCGTGTGGAGAATGACTGTTACACTTTGTTCCTTGACCGGGACACTAACTTGATGCACAGCATCTTGGAGAGGTGAGGCACAGCCATTGCTGGCTCTGAGGCAGAGGCGTGCACTGGGACCTGGGCATGTCATTCCCCCACCTGCCTCTGTGTCCTCACTTGCTAGGGGAATCACCAGAAGGTGGTTAAGGCCCTTCCTGTGTTACCATTTTTATTTCTGCAATTGTGAGACTAGACCAGTATAAGAAAGCCCTTCATGAATCTTATCATTCCAGGGCTGTTGATCCACAAAGTGGTTGTTGAAGACCCACTCGGGGAAAATATGTAATATTCACTTTATTCACTATCTTAAATTTAAAGAAACATATAACCATCCATGTACCCACCCACACAATAACCGCTCATCCATCCATCCATCGGCTTACCCATCACCTACCCATCCATCCACTCACCCACCCATCCATCCTTCCATCCATCCATCCTTCCATCCATCCATCCATCCATCCATCCATCCATCCATCCATCTATCCATCCAATCAACCAACCAACCACTATCGTTCTTGTTCATCCATTTATCCAACCGACCACCCATCCACCTACTAACCCCCACAACCATCCATATAACCACACATCAAACCACCCATCCACCCACCCATCTACCCATTTCACACACCCTCCCATCCATTCATCCTCCATCCACCCACCCATCCAACCACCAATCCTTCCATCCATCCATTATCCTCCCACTTGTCTATATATTTATCCAACCGCACATCCATCTATCCATCCATCCACTCACTCACTCATTCAACCATCCACCCATCCATCTACTCACCTTCCCATCCATCCATATATCCACCCACCCATATACTTAACAACACACTCACCCTTCCATCCATCCATTTACCTTCCCATCCATCCATATATCCACCTACTTACCCACTCATTCACACCCACACACATATCCACTTACCATTCGATCTATCCAAGCCTGCACCTATCCATGTATGTTTGTCTGTCATCCCTCCATCAATCCAACCACCAATCCATCCATCCATCCATCCACCCACTAACCTTGTTTATCCATCTATCCAACCATCCACCCATCCATCCATCCATCCTACACCTCACCCCACCCTCCCATCCAACCATCCATGCATCCAACCATCAATCCATCCATCTATCCATCCACCTACTAACCTTCTTGTTTATCCATCTATCCAACTATCCACCCATCCGTCCATCACCTTACCCTCCCATCCATCCATCCGTCTGTCTGTCCGTCCATCCATCCATCCATCCATCCATCCATCCAGTATCCTTCTTGTTCATCCATCTGTCCAACCATCCACCCACCCATCCATCACCTCACCCTCCCATCCATTCATCCATCCATCCATCCATCCATCCATCCATCCATCCATCCAACCATCCATCCATCCATCCATCCACTATCCTTCATGTTCATCCATTTATTCAACTAACCAACCACCCATCCATCCACTAACCCCCATAACCATCATTTTATATCCACACACCAAACCACCCATCTGCCCATCAGGTACCCTCTCACACACCCTCACATCCATCCATCCATCCAACCACTCATCCTTCCATCCATCCACTATCCCCCCAGTCATCTATATATTCATCCAACCACACAACCATCCATCCATCCACTCACTCACTCAGCCATCCACCCATCCATTCACTCACCTCCCATCCATCTGTATATCTACCTGCTTACATACCTAACCACACATTCACCCATCCATCCATCCACTTACCCTCCCATCCATCCGTATATCTACCTACTTACCCGCTCATTCACGCCTACACACATACTTCTATCCACTTGCCATTTGATCTATCCATGTCTGTTTATCTTTCTCTCCATCCACCCATCCACCCATCCAACCATCCATCCATCCATCCATCCATCCATCCATCTACATATCCATTCATTCAGTAACTAATTGTGGACAGCAGAGAAAGCAGGTGACCCCCAGGAAAAAGGCTCCCAGGTGTTTTGGGGCCAGCCCTGTCCATACTCAGGCCACATCCCAGATAGCTGTCATTCCACCCCTGCTGCCTCTGCCAGAACAGCCACTTGCTTTTCCTGATGTGACCTCCCAACAGGATGGGGAGCGGGGGGAGGAACAGGGAGTCTGGGAGGAGCGGCTGCAGAAAGTAAGGGGGAGGGAGGAGCATGGGTGCCAGGTGAGTGGCACCTGGAGCTCAGCCCGAAGGCAGCTGTGCATAACTCTGGAGCCTCACAGCACTAGGAAGTCCCCGACAGAGGGACCCCATCAGAGCCATGTCCTTCATCATTCAGCAGATCCTCTTGAGAGAGGGGGTGGCAGGTAGAAGGGGCTGACTGCAGCCAGCGTGGGTGGGGAGGGAAGATGGGGACAGCAGTGGAACCCGGGCAGGGCCAGGCAACTTCTGAGCCTCCCTGGTCAGAGCAGAGTCCCCGGGCCGGTATTGGGATGCTTCTCCAGTCAGGCCCGATGCCCCTTGCTGAGCCAGCCCCACCTCGCCTTCCATGTGTGCATCCCATGAAGGCCTCATCCTCAGCCACGACCCACCCGGCATGTCTAGCAGTACAGTGCATGGGCTGCCGACCACCCCCTACCCTCGTCTGTCTCTGCTGCTTTTCAGGGAGTGAGGACTGGGTGTTCCTTATGGGTCCCTGAAATCCCCTCCAGGGTAAACTCATAGTCCAGTGCCTGACCCCTGGTCACAGAGAGAAGCTATGGAAATGGAGGGCAGTGGGCTCAGAGGAGGCTTGGTGGGCAGGAGGCACCTGGAGCCAGGCCTGAGGACTGGAAGGGCCAGAGAATCCATGGGCCCAGACGAGGGGATACCTGTTCCATGGAAGGAGCCTCCTGTGCAGAGGCCCAAGGGGGAGGCCACCATGTGCCGAGACCACCCCAGGGAGGGTGGGTGGAGGGAAGATTCTTTCTTATATAACAGCATTATGGATAGAATTCACTGACCATGCAGCTCAGCCACGGAAATGGTCCCCATCTGTGGTGGTAGGACACTCACAGCCCGTGTGAGCATTGCCACATTCATGGCCCCTCTGACCCTTCTCTGTCTGTCTGGATTTGTCTAAATTGGACATTTCATACCAGGGGATAAACTCGATGCAGCCCTGTGGGACTGGCTCCCTCCCCCGAGCATCGTGTGTCCAAGGTCCGTCCACAATGCCTGCCACGGGCATGAGCGCCGCATCGCTCCTCAGGCTCAGTGTTATTCCCACAACAGATGGAGCACGTTTGACTCCTCCAGTCTCCAGCTGACGGCACCTGGGGGAGCAGATGAAAGGAAGCGGGGGCGGGCAGCCTGCAGGCAGAAGGGAAAGGGCTTGGGGCCGGACTAATGACCAGGATCTTTTCTGGCCTCTTCAGAAGGGCGAGAGGGGCCCTTCTCAGATGCCCCCCCACCACCGCTGTCCTGTCCATGCCCACCACCATAGCACAGAAATCCCCCAGTTGGGTGTGGAAGGGATATTACTTCATGTTCTGCTCCTGGCAGCGCCATGCCCCGATCCCAGTACATGGCTGTGCCTTTGCTTAGACCACACACAGAGGTACAATCCATACTCATGTCTACACCATCCACGTGTCTACAGGGCTCTGAGTCCCTGCCCACCCTTCCCCCATCCCCCGTCCCAGCCCCAGTATCTGAACAGAATGGAATGAGCCCAGATCGTGCCGTTGGAACAGAACCTGAGTCCTGCTTTGGGCTCTTCCCAGGCACGTGATCCTGTGCCAGTGATCAGGGCCCAGGGCCTCGCGGGGCCCATTAGCAAAGTGGGTTCATATTCCCTGCCCTCAGGAGTCAGGAGGACGCGGTGAAGTGCGTGAAGGTGCTGGCTCTTGACACCTGGACACCTGGGGGTCCGCATGACAAAGTCCTTGCTAGTGCTCCTCAGGGTCCCTGGGAAAGGTGTGGGGTCGTGCTGCTGGCCGCCTGACGACCGGGCACCACCTCCGGGGGACGCTCCCTCTGGGGCAGCATTAATGCCCTCTGCTCATGCTCTCGGGCGCCTGTTATACAGCCTCTGTGGCCCTCCTGCTTGGGGTCCCCCGGCACATGGAAGGATCTAAGGCCACTTGGCTCAGGGGAGGGGTTGTCTCGTGGACTTTATCTGAACCACGTGCATGGGTGTCACCGAGCGGCCTCATGACTGTCACTGAGGTTCTGCTGAAGTCGCTTTTCTTCGCTTTGGTGGAGGGGGGTGTCTGCATAGAAGGCTTGTTCGCCAGCTCCCAGAGGACGTGGACAATGCTCAGGACACACGTGCATGAAGAGAATACTGTTTTCCCTTTCCTGTCCCTGCAGAGAGAGTAACCGCACAGTGCGTGTGACCCAGGAGTTCGTGGAGTACCGTGTCAACGGTAATTTGAGATATGGCCCTATATCTGATAACTTTGTGTTTATCCCCACCGACACCGCGAGGCGCCCGTGGAAAAGCGTGGGGATGCAGATTGTGACAGGAAAGCTCATGACGGAGATCCGGCAGTTCTTCTACAGGTGCGCTCGGGCTCCCTGGGTGCACGTGGGCACGTGTACGAGGGACTCAG